TAACCTTGTTGCTTGTATCCTTATGGTTTATATTGACTGTTTCCTAGTATGATTTGATTGCTTATTTGTACCCTATGACTATTATCAAGTGTTGTACCTGATGATTCTTGACAAATGTATCTTTTCTTTTACGTACACTGAGAGCATTTGCACCAAGACAAATTCCTCCAATCACACTTGGCCAATAAAGAATTCTATTCTATTCTATACAGCAAATCATGTGGTTATTAAGTGAACCACATGGTCATTAAGCAAATTTATTCTTCCAAATGGGTGTTTTTTTTGCTGGAAATAGCAAAAACACCAGAAATTGCCCCCCCCCCCCCCCAAAAAAAATCAAAAATCAGAGTCACATGACTGTGGCACACTGCAACTGGTTGTAAATGCAAGCTGGTTCCCAAATACCTGAAACACAAATACATGACCGGGATTGGTGGCAGTAGTAACTTCAAGGATGGGTCATAAACATTTAAAAATCCATCGTACTTTCTAACTGCCTAAAGAATGTGCGGAAATGAACAGATTAACACTAGCAATTGAGGAGAAAGAGCAAACTGAGTATTATATGATATGGAAAATATTTTATCAATGATTATAGAATTAAATAGGAATTTGGAAATGAGGAAAAATAAAAAAGAATAGAAAATAAAGTAAAATAGTGATACAAATATGATGTCAATATATATATATGATGAGAACAATGAGATGTAATGCTAATAAGATATTACCACCAGAAGAGCTGTATGTTTAGCTGTTTGATGTATCTTAACTTTAAGCTTAGAGAAATATTAATGTGAATGGTGTTATAAATGGTGAAGGATGTGGCACAGAGATGTTGGTGCGCAGACGGCACACTGCTTGAGAAAAAATGAAATGTTTGTACTTTTGAACCTAAAAAATAAAAAATTTATTATTAAAAAACAAAATTTCCTCTGAGCAGGTACTTCTGTATAATTTGCTTCTTTCAATGTATCCGAGACCATTCTCCAATGATTGTCTAGTCGCAAACAGCTGTTTATGGATGGCATCCAATTCTTCAGACTTACCTGTACAAGGTGAGACTGCCTAGTGACAAGATAAGCAACACAGCCTACACTAAGTGATAATTGTAGGGAGTCTTGAGACATTGTGCCTACCCTGTTCCACCAACCTTGAATGAAACTGTAGGAAGATTTCAACAAGGAATTAATACAATAACATCTCATCATTTTACATGATATGAGAGGACAAGGCTCAACCATTTTTATTTTATTTTATTTTATTTTATTGCACTAATTTTTGCAAGCCCGTTCAAGGCTGAGAACCTTTCTCCCTAATTTTAAATCTGGAAGATGAATTATTTTCTCCACTATTTGTTCTTCTAGAGAACTAAAAGTTTTGCTGTGAACATCCCATAAAAATTCCTTCATTTCAGGTCACATACATCTATGTAGAATCAGATTTTTATCAGGAGGACAAAGGTAAGAAAAGCAGAATGTTTCCTCATTCTAGCTTAATGAGATTTTACTACTTTTTTTAAAATTCTGAAAAGAGAAATAAAAGATTCCTGGCTGCCTGGCTTGCAAAATTGCTGGCTATAAAATGGTTAGCATGTAATTAAGCTTATCACCCCAACTTCAACACCCAATGAAGAAGAAATGCTCAAAGCTATTTATTTAAAATCTAATCAATAACCTGTTCACACTATACAGGTAGTCCCTTACTTGCAGCTATTCGTTTAGTGACCATTCAAAGTTACGACTGCACTGAAAAATGTGACATATGGCCATTTTTCAACTTACAACTGTCACGGCATTCCCCCATGGTCACATGACCAAAACCAGGACACTGGGCATTATTTATGACATCTGCGGTTCCTGGAGTTACATGGTCCCCTTTTGCAACCTTCTGACAAACAAAGCCAGTGAGGAAGCCAGATTCACTTAACAACTGTGCTAGTATCTTATCAACTGCAGTGATTCATTTAACAATTGTCGTAACATGGAGCAAAACTCAATTTGTTTAGCAACAGAAACGTTAGGCTCCATTTTGTCATAAGATGAGGACTACCTGTCCTGCATTTGGATCAATACATCTGGACTTCCATAAGGTTAAACAAGGTTACACCATGTAACACCATTGAGTGTTGATTCTGACTGCATTTACATCATCCTATTGTTCTGCATCCAAGTTTTTATGCTTGGGATTGTGCAAACCTGAAACTTCTAGTTACTTTAACTCATACATATTCATCTATCTATGCCTTCTTCCACTTCCATCCTCTTGTTTCGCTGTTAGTTTCTGTGCCAAACTTTAGCTGATGAAGGATTTCTTTCTGACCTAGAGAGATACTTGGCTGTGTTTTGTTTTTTTTTAAAAAAAACCAATGTAGTAGTAAAGCTACATTACTCATTCCAAAGAGTAGGCAAGAATAAGACAAAGAAATGGGAAGGGCCAGGAGGAAAAAAAATGAAAAGGGGTTTAATGTTCATTTCAACAAGATTAAAATGAATGACAATTTTATATATAATTATTAAATATTGTTAAAGGCATAAACCATACACATTTTGAAATGTAAAATTAAGGCAAGAAAGGTAGTAAGGAAAAAATGCAAAGACATAGAAGTGGAAAAAAAGAATCTCGTATTTATTATGGATAGTACCTACATTTAATAAAGAGGAGAGAGGGAGGAGAGGTGGAAGGAGAAAGGGAGGGGGAGGAACAGGGGAAGGGAGAAGAAAAATAAAGAAGCAACTTCTGACTTCCTTAACAGCAGTTATATTTACATTCTCTCTCTCTCTCTCCTCCCTCCCTCCCCACTCTTATAATTCCCTTCTTTTCATAATCTACTCTTCTTTCTAGTCATCAAATCCATACATCACATTTTTTTTCTCTCTCTCTTTCAACAAAAAGTCCCTTTGGGATTTCCAGTGACTAATAAATGTGATCATTGTCCTTTCTCTAATCAAGCAAGTCAATTTTGCCATCTCTGCTAATTCCGTCACTTCCACTAGCCATTTTTCCTTTGGGGGTATTTGTCTTTTTCCATTTTTGTCTATATAATAACCTCACAGCAGTTGCCATATATAAAAATAATCTTACAGAACTCTTTTGTGTCTATGCATTAGTCTCAACAAGAAAAGATGCAGTTTTAATTGAATATCAACCTTTAAACTTCTTTGTATCACCTGTATGCATTTAAACTCAAAGTTCTCTGGGGGTTTTTTTTGCAAGTCCACCAGATAGGACAAAATGACCCTTCATTTATTCCAAATTTTCAACATAGTTTTGAAGTACTTTTGTACATTCTAGATAATTTTTCTGGAGTCATACAGCAATGGCATACCATTTTATAAAAGTTCTCTTTTGAATTATAAAATGTTAATTTCAGCCTTTTGGCCACATATTTTACCATTGCTCTCTCATCATATTATGTCCAAAGTTCTTAGCCCATTCTTAAGATAAGTCTTTCACTTGTTCTCCCATTTCACGTTTCAAAAAAAGTTTACACATTTTAGAAATTACATGTTCATCATTTGTACATGTATAAAATTTGCAGTTTCAAATTCTGTCTTATGCTGTTTGCTTTCCAAATATCTTATTATATGTTTCAAAACTTTCTCTTTAACGAAATATGTTGAAAACTGAATGAGGGGGGGGGGGGGGGGGGGGGAGAACAGGGATGTTGCAAATCTCCACTCCTAAGAAGAACACCAAAGGGCCTTTTCCTTATCATCTTCATTTAATGATCTCATAATCCCTTGTGGAGTAGAGTCTAGGAAACTGAATGGAGCTAGCAGTATGTTTTAATGGCCGGATGCCCTTCCTCTCGCCAATGCGGAGTTATATTCAGCAGATATATTCTCAGTGTGCCCAGATATCTGCCTCTACCTAGGATCGAACTCAAAGCTTCCTGGTTGTGTGAGGCAAGAGCTCCACTCTAGGCCACCGCACCACTCTCCCCATTTGGAAGATCATCCCTGTGGTAATTTGGGACTTTGACACTGTTTTGCAAGGCTCGGAAGACCTGGTTTTGCCAATGAGTCTGGAGAACCCAGAAAGGGATGGAGCCCATCAAGTGGCTTGTTTGTTTGATCGTTGTTACCAGGACAAGTGGGTGATTACTGTTTTTTATTGTTTGCATATTGAGTTTTTATTTTTGTAATCCACCCAGTCATCATTAAGTGATGGCCATACAAACATAAACAAACAAACAAACAAACAGATAGTCAATTGACCTTTTGATTTCATTTTATATTCTCCATCCACTTGTTCTTACAATTATGAATAGGTTAACTGCTGATTCTTTTCTATAAAACGCTTCTTGTGCGTAGACTCCTAAAGACATTTTTGAATACAATCTGGATTTGTATCTACTCTATATGTCTTCAATATAGCGCTTGTAACGTAACGACCTGTGGACTTCCAAGTCCCAGAACTTCCCAGTCAATATGTCCTGGCTGGGGAATTCTGGGGGTTGACATCCACATATCTTAAAATGATGTAGGTTGATAAACACTGCCCTAACCTATTAAAATTAATTATACTTAATGTGACTCGTTTGAAGTATTCAATAGCTTATCTTCACATAAAGGTAATGGAAGCTAAATTAAAGGCTTTGGGAAAGCTTATTAAGTCACTGAACTTCAGATTGTGCTCCTCTGCCTGAAAGTAATAACCCATAATCCTATGATTTATAAAGTGCCATACATGCCAATGTTGTCATTAAAAACCCAAGAGGTAAAATAAGGATACTGAGTCATCAAGAATTCACCCCTATCACAAATTAGGGTCTGTCTAAATCAGGGGGGTTAAACTCGCATTGTCATGGTGGCGTCACGTGACGTATCGGGACTTTTTTTTTTGCGCACAGGCCGCGAGTTTGGCACTCCTGGTCTAAATGAATGGATTCATAACAAAAATGAGGCAAGGAATGAATCCCAATTTCTTTAGGATGCCATCATTTTCTATTGTGCTAGTTCAGACCTAAGTGGAAATCATGACACCCACAAATGTCTCACCTCTGGCCATGTTGATATGGAACCACTTGACATGGGCTGGGATGAGGCCGCAAAGAAGAGTGATGAGCAGCACCCCTGCCAGGCAGCCAATTTTCACAGCCAACAACTGATCCATTTTTGCAACTGCTTAGGAAGAGGGCAAAAGGCAACTGTTGAAGAATAAGCCAAGGCAACACCTTCTATTGCTTTTGGTTCTTCTCGGGCCAATCTGCTCCTAAAGCTTCTCGGACCAATTAATTAGTCTTGAGTGAAGAAATCCAATGGGTCCTTCTCACTCTCCAGACTTTCTTCGTTTAGTAGACCAAAGATCAAGGAAAGACATCCAGTTCTGTGCAATCATGAAGGCCACCTCCACTCACTGCAAATTTGAAAGCTCCAAAGTGTATTGGTTTCTTCTTTACCTTCAGTCTCTTTTTAGCTCCAGTTCACAATGATTCCCATTCTCCTAATTTCTTCCTGCTCTCCCACTATCCTAGTTTTCTTGAAGCCTTGCTGCTTCTATTCCATCTTTCCTCCTTTTTTCGGTCTCCTTCTCACCAGGTTCTTCCCCCCTCTGCTTGCTTCTATTCCATCTTCCTTCAGTTCTTAACACTTCTCTGGATGTCTGTGAATAATCACCCTGATACTCCACAAGGGAACCTCCCACCAATTTGGGTAGTCCCAGCCCATTCCAATTACTCTATTAAACTTTAAAACACCACACTTCACTTATAGGAAACAGCCTGCCAGGGAAACTTTCATCAGAAACTTAAGGTCACTGGGCCAGAGTAGCTTATAAAATAAGTAATTAAAATTGGAGTTTGTTGATCTCCAACTAGATCAGAATCCATAAATGCATGAATCATGTTATTTACTATGCAATGTGCCCAATTTTATAGTAGTTCTAACAAAAGATCATAAATTTAAGGCAGTCTGCATTCCTGGAAAAATTGGGCAGAAATCACAAAATCAATATCAAGTACAGGTCCCAACAGTTCTGATAACGTAACAGATTCAGGATGCTAAGCTATGCTTGTTTAAGTATGCTATGTAAGTATAGTTTTCAAAATGTGAAAAATGTGAACTCTACAAAGCATTCAGCAAAGTAGCACAGAGCAACCCAGTGGCTTAGCTTGGCATGTATCCAGTGCATGTACTTATATTGCTAACTAGAATTCTTTGTGGAATTATTCAACATAAGGCTAAAACCATGACAGGAAGGATAAAATTTGAGTGGCTGGGACCGGCCTTAATATTTTTGCAAAAGCCACAGTGAGAATGGGAATAATTAGTTATGCTAACTGTTCCATGTATGGACTGTTCTATATATGGGGTAAAAAAAAATGCATATAGCCCTGAAGGTTATACTACCACCTTTGCAAAATAGATTATTATTTTTTTCAAGTTAGCAATTGTATTGCCAAATGAAGCTTTGAAAGATTTCTTCAAGTCTGCTACCTATTCAATAAAGTAATTCACAGCCAACTCCTACAAAAGAGGTAAGGGATAACAACACTCTTCGTCTTTGATCACTGGACGTGTGGTTTCAGGATGATGGGTCTTGGAATGCAACAGTTCCTGGCAGGCCCGTGTACCCCTCTTCTAAATACATAGGTATGTGAATGAGCAGGTTGGACCTCTCCTCTGGAAAGATTCCCTAAGCAGGATTGGTGCAATATGCATCCAGCAACTTAATTAGCAGCACACCGGCTGAAGCTGAATAATTGCATTCTGCCAGTGAAGATCCATTGAAGCACCAATAGCTAGTTGAAATAAATAAATACATAAATTGGAAGTCCCAGCCCGGATCAAGAATCCACCCTCCAGTGTAAACGTATACAAGCAGTAGCCACCTTTAATTATCCAAAAAGAGAGGTTAAAAAAATTAAGAATCTAAATAATCACGTGGTGATATCAGCTGCAAATTCTGCAAGCAAACCAGGTTCACCCGAAAATGCATTAGAGGTTCAATGCTAAATCAATCAATTTTTTTTCCTTACGGAATCTGATCATGCAGGTGAGCAGCTGGTGATTCAGGGCTCAAGACTGGTTTGTTGAGTCACTTTTTTACAACCAACCTTTTGGTTCTATGAACCGCAAACAGGGCTCAATTATTATGTTAATGCAGAACTATTTCAAGATTACAGCTTCTAGCCTGACCCCTCCCTTTTAATTCAAGGTAAAACCAAACTGCTCCATCAGCATAAAAATCCAGCAGCATCAGGACTTATACCAAAGCTGTTAATGAAAGCAACAACCTGAATGCCCTCATTTGTTAGATAGCATAACCCTACTGGGCACCCATGGTCAGGATAAACATCAAATCACTATTAGTAATTACTCTAATAACAACCATTTTAGAGTTTACTATTAGAGATTACTCCTACTTTGCTTCTCAGTTCTTCAGGTAGAAACTGTGGCCTTTTGGAACATCGTATTGGACAGAGCAGTTAAAAAAAGCAAAACTTTGAATTGTTTGCATAAAAAAAGAAACACTGTTTTTCAAACCTGTTCACGGAATTATTATTGCAATGGAAACACCTTCACTATTAATCTACAGAAAAACAGCAGTGTATGTTCCAGATAATTTGTTTAGTTTAACTTTAACAAAAAATCAGTAGAGTTGTGAGGCTAGTGGTCCAATGGAGTGCTACTTTCAACATAACCTACTGAAAAAAAACCTAAAAGAATAATTTTTCCCCAATAAAAATATCGATAGCAAATAGGCAGAAAGATTTAAAACACACTCAATTATTTTCCCATTTTTTGCCAAGGACATTTTATTAAACAAAATAAATAAACAAAATAGCAGAGATCACTACTTTAGCTACTTTTGTATTTCTGAGAGGGGAAAAAATGTCTTGAATTTCTATTATTCCCTTTGTTGGAACACTTAAACCTTGAAATGAAATACCATTTTGTCCTAAGCTTGGGACAACTCTATTTGAGTGACAGGGTTTCTTTAAAAAAAAATTTGTAACAGTTGTTTAAAACTTGATCATGGCATGTTTTAACACTATTCTGGCCAATTGTACTGTTAAGAAACAAATTAATCATTTGGGTCATAACTGGAACCAACTGCCTTTTTCCTAAAAAAATATTGGAGGTTGCCTTCTATAAAATTACAACATCAATCTAAAGCTTAAGGGTTACTTGCACCGAACTTCCCTGGATTGATACTTTAAAGGATCTGAACTACAACTCCTAGACTCTCATGTTGGCATGAGATGAAGAAGCCCAAATCTGTAAGGCCATACTTACAAGTAGTCCTCATTTAGCAACTGTTTCGTACAGTGGCTATTTGCAGTTACAATGGTGATAAAAAACAACTTTTTGACCAAGCCTTGCATTTACGACCTTCACAGGTCTTTAACACAAAGTAAGATCATAGGCAGCCATGGTTTCACTCAGCATCTGCCTTGCTTAATGACCAAAATATTTGATCCCCATTATGGATGCTAAAGGAGGACTATCTGTAGTTGGGGAAGATCAGTGCTGGTGAACAAAGGCTCTGCAGCTGAGGAACGATTCTCATCCTTGCCTAGAAAGGCCTTCTCCGTGGTGGCTCCCTCCATTTTGAACATTATCCCATGTTTGCTAATGAAGACAGAAGAGAATCCTATCAATTGTTGGGGGTGAGGAGGATGGACATTTTCCCAGATGGAAAGCAAAATCGCCCATGTACAAGGCATAGTTTAGCAGTGTTTTCAACGTCAATTGATACGTAGATTTCAACTCCCAGAAACCCAGCATACGGGCTGGAGAATTCTGGGAGCTGAAGTCCACACACACACCTTCAAGTTGCTGAGGTTGAGAAACACTCTAGCATTTTTCATTCATGCCAAGCCAGTATTCTGATAGTCTAGAAAAGTGGCTTTGCCTTGCTTTGTTTCAGTAATTTTGTTTTGGCTCAACCAAATTCCATGTAGGTTCACGGAATGGGAGCCTGCTATGCTGTCCTTTCCTCTTTTCTGCTCTTTCTCCTGAAAAAAGGCATGGATGGATTGGCTATTTTGAGGTGTTGTATGTAGGGGAAAAATAAAAATTTCACCTTTATGGGGAGCTAATAGAAAATTAGCTGAGTTCTTCCCCTTTCTCCCAGAAAAAAAGCATCAGTAGCTAATGGTTGCTTTAAATTTCTCCCCATATAAATTTGGGCTTTTAAAAAAGTCTAATCCTGAATCAGGTTGCTCTCGTATCAAATCATAACTTTTAAACCTAAGTCAAAGCTTCTTCCCAAAGCGTATGCAGGTCTTTTATTCCTTGCCTTCAGGGCTACAACATTGTCCTTTAATGTAACTGTCCTCTGAAGGAGACTTGAAAAGTCAGGGTTTGTTTTTTTTACTATCTCCTTCAGAGATATTTGTTCTAACTTTATCACACCCATTTTAAAAAACATACTTGACAAAGCAGTTAAATGGTGTGTACTTTACCTTTTGTCCGATCAACAACCACACAGCTCTAGTCCAGTGGCCAAGTTTCAGGCTAATGTATACACTGCAGCATAAAAGCTGATAAGTTTTTGTATTTATCAAACTCAGCAACGTATTAGCAGAATTGTAATGGTTAATCAATTGGGGTGAAGATACTGCTGGACATGTGCCCACTGGATGCTCTTTCTTTTCTGTTTGATGGCTGTTATGCACTATTCTAACTGATAAAAATCTCAGGATTGAATGGGGGGGGGGGGGATTCCAATTATACTGTATAATCCCTCCCCAAAGCCCTTCAACTGATATTTTACTATTAGTAATTTGTGACAAAAAGGATACAAAAAAGAGACTAATATTAGCTTCATTTAACTCACCTCAGTTAATTTTAAAGTTAATCTAAATCCATTTTTAATCTTAACCTAGCTTCTCTTCTTTTCCATTGGTTGATTGTTCTCACTGTCAGAAAATTTCTCATTTCCAGGTTAAATATCTCCTTGATCAGTTATTATTCCTTATCTGGCCCTTCAGGCGCTTTAGAAAATAGCTTGACCCCCCTTCCTCTCTGTGGCAATCCCTCAAATATTGGAAGACTGCTATAATGTCTCCCCTGGTCCTTCTCTTCACTAGACTAGCCATGCCCAGTTCCTGCAACCATTCATCATGTTTTAGCCTGCAGTCCCAATCATCCTGGTTGCACTTCTCTGCACTCTTTCTAGAGTCTCAACATCTTTTTTTTATAGACATCCAATAGCTAACTGGAATTTGAGTTGCCTAGATTAAAACCAAATCACTGGATAAGATAGATCACCAATTAAATCCAGTTAAACCTCAAATGCTGATGTTTTTCAAACCTGGCAACTTCTGAGATGTGTGCACTTCAACTCCCAGAATTCCCCAACCAGCAAGAGATCCTGAAGCCAGCAATTTTGAGAATTGAAATCCACACATTTTAAAAATTGCCAGGTTTCTAAAATACTGACCTAGATCAGGACTGTCAAACTCGCGGCCTGTAGGTTGGATGCCTCAAGGGGGGAAAAGTCCTGATACGCCACATAATGACGTGAGTTTGACACTCCTGACCTAGATGATTCATTCTCACCAAGAAAGACTATATAATTAACTCTAATTTCAGCAGGCTTTTTAAAAAAATCACTGCTATCACAGCTACAAAGCTACACTATGTAATTGCCTTTATCACTGAACAGAACCTGCACCCTCTTCTGCTTAAGAAACCGGACTTCCAATTTCTCCTTATTGCCATGCAAATCGAAGTGGTAGAAATGGGGCAGCCAGATTTGGACTTCAGGAACAATGGATAGGAATGTCCCAAAGATGTTTTTGTTTTTTTCAAGAGGCAACTGGACTTTCTGGTTTTTCTTTGAAGATGTTTAGCTTCTGATGTTTAGCTTCTGAGCTGAAGAAGCTTCTTGGATGAGAAGCAAAACTTCTTCATAGAAAAACCAGAAAGTCCAGTTGCCTCTTGAAAAAGCATCTCTGGGACAACCATGACCTGGATGACTGAGAATCTCCATAGACAAATAGGCCTCTGGGTACTACCACAGTAAAGGAGAATATTTGTAGCACAAGATTGACATGAGGGGTCCTTGGTGCTCTCTGGGCTTGTTTGTTTTTTTCCAGATGTTTCATTACCCAACTAGGTAATATCATCAGTGCTAGGAAGCAAGGACCCCACAGGCCTCTGGGAGCATGCCTGTATGCAGGGGAGCTTAAAAAACAATTAAAACTATTAAGTGCTCAAATCTTCCTCCTTAAGCAACCCAATCCCAAGCCTACTAATCCCAGGATCCCTCCTACGTTATTCACTTTCCAATTTCAATTTACTTGGTATCTTTTTGAGAGCTGGGATTGAAGTGGTCATAAACACACATCCTTTTGCTTCATCGTGTAGCCAAAACTGTCTCCCACTTCCTCTTCACTCAGGCTCTCTGAGCCACTTTATTTGAACACATGCTACCTAGCCTTCTCTTTAAAAAAAAAATAAAAAGTTGGAAAACATTTGTTCTCTTCTTTAGCCAAACACATAGGAAGGCAGAACAAGGAAGGAATAACCACAACCAATCCAAGCTTTTGAAACTGCTCATCAACATTTACATGTAATGCCAAATTAGGTAGGAGACATATTTGAGTTTCAGGGCACCCGTGTCACTCAGAACAGAAAAATATTATGCTGACCCATATAACTTTAGCTTCTACTACTTCCGTTATTCATTTCTTGTGTAACACACTCCTACTACTGTATGTGAAAATGTTAATAAGCTAATTTTTATCATCTTCAGTTAATCTTATAGATGGTGTTTTAAAGGATAAGAAGATTTAAATAGTCCATTTCCAATCCAAATGGAATAATCCAGAGATATATGCAGTGTAGACTCTGGCACCCTCGTGTTCTTTGTCAGGCTCTCACAGCCAAAGACTAGAGATGGAATCTGTAATCCGAATTCTTTGTAGAGCACAAGACTGAAAAAGTCAACCAAAGGACTTGTTTCTGTGTATTGTGAGAATGTTCAAACTGTCCACCAATTTAACCACAGCCAATTAAATTTCTTGATATCTGACTTGACTTTCTGTTAATATCCAAGAGAAAAACCGCTGAATTAAATCCATCACATCTGATACTGGCCAAAGTTGTTCCAAGAAAATCAGTATCCACAGATCATGAACTGAGGTGTACCATAGTTTGATTCTGTTAATTATACACACACCGCCAAGCAGAAACAAACCTGGGTCTATAGCTCCAAACAGCATAAAGAATTCCAGTTCTGGAAACTATCAATCTGAGATAGACATCCAGTCTGAACATACCAAAAGGAAGCATCAAAGTATGCCAGAAGGGACCTCATCAATTCTGATCCTGGCAAGGAGCAGTATTCACTTTTTGAGAATCGTTTTTCTGGTCTTCAAGAGTTGACTTGTCCTCCAAAATGGATTCTATATTTGGAGTCAAAATTGGAAGCCGATCCCCACAATTACTGTTCCAGACACATCGATAGAGATCCCTGGAAGAAGCAAAGATAGATGATGACCCCAGGGCTACATTCATGGGCACTCGAATATAGCCCTGGATCTAGGGCTACCTTCTTAATCTTGGTTTCAGGGCTGTGGAGCCTGGATCTAGAGCTTCTTATGCCTCGAGGGGGAATTGAATACCTGCTATGTTTCTTTGATGTCACAACAGCATGTTGAAGGGTGCCATCAGCACAACAGAGGTGCACATGGATGTGGCGTTTGCGGCAAAGGACAGGCTGGGTGATGCGAGGCCAGGGCTCCATCGACTTCCTCGATCCCCGGCTCAGGATCAAAAAAGAAAATCTCTCGGTTTTGTGTGGAGGATTCTAAACACACACACACACACATTAGGACAGAATGAACTTAAAAAGTTAGCCCCCTTATCACAATCCAGGGAAGAAAAGCTAGCAGAAACATTACCCTGAGACACTAATTGAGGATACCACATTTTCTTCCAATAAGTCCAATAAGGAAACAGCAACATATAGATTCTAACTGAAATTGTGTAAAGTGTAAAATCTGGGGGTGGGTGGGAGGATATGGGGGTAGGGTAGGGATTGTAAAGCCTCCCCAGAAACTTTAACTTCCATCTATAAGCCAACAAAAAGATCTGACCAGGGCAACTGGCCTTGGGGTGTATCATTAGGAATCATGTAGCAATTTCCCATTTCTTTCATCCCAAGGTTTATGTTGTATCCCAGTATATTGTATGATTTACAGAGAACTATCTCTGTCCAGCTTCCCAAACAGGATGACTTTCATTATAAGGGCTTTGTAACGCAATCCATCTAGGTTAGAGAAAGCTGATTAAGACCCTCTTGGTCTTTCTTCATTTATAGAGTCATTGACTAAGATGGGTGGCCCCAAAAATAAACAAATAAACAAACAGGGGTGCAAAATGGTGCAGTTTGTCTCCAGAACTCAGAAATATTCTCAGAAGTAGACTGCTATGTGATTATTTTTTTTGTGCTGAGCTATGGTGGCAGAGTGGTTAGAATGTAGTACTGCAGGGTAATTCTGCCGATTGCCAGAAGTTCGATCCTGATCAGCTCAAGGTGGACTCAGCCTTCCATCCTTCTGAGGTCGGTAAAATGAGGACCCAGATTGGAGGAGACAGTAAGCTGACTCTGTAAACTGCTTAGAGAGGGGCTGTACAGCATAAGGAGCGATATATAAGTTTTAAGTACTAAATGCTATTTTCTGATTTGGTGCATGGACTATTCCTAGGGGCTTTCATCGGCCAATCCAGCAGAAAGAATAAGGTACAGGTAGTCCTCATTTAGTGACCACTTATTCAGCAATAGTTTGAAGTTATGACAGCAATGAAACTAGTAGGCAGGGCTGTTCATTAACATGGCGATCGCAGCATACCTATGGTCATATGATTGCGATTCAGATGCTTAGCAAATGGCACACAATTTCAATGTGGTTGCAATGTCTCATGGTCACATGACTGCCATTTGGGACCTTTACTGATGGCAAAGTCAATGAGGAAATTGGCAAGTAAAATTTGCAGTCAAGTCACACCATGCTTAAAGATTGCCTGTGATCTGCATAACAACCACAACCAGAACTACTACTCTCAAGTTGTGATCACATGATTAAAAAAAAAAACTGTACCATTGTGTCGAAAGAGTTCCCAGTCCCAATTATAGTAGTTCACTGAGGACTACCTGTATTCGAGAGCAGGGTCATTGTTTTCAAGTCTTTATGTATGTCGGCAATAATCAACCATTTAACTTTACGCTTTATGTATTTTGAGTTTCTGTTGGCGGTGTCCTTTATTCAATTTGTCTATGTTTGGATTGCTTTTCTTGCAACATAGAATACCACTTGCTTACTCAAAGGTTGTGCTCTTGTGACCCACTAAACTCTAACCCCAACCTTAATCCCAAGACAAAGTTTTATTCAGACAGCATCCAATCCAAAACAAACAAAGCATATTATGGCTTAATATGGTTTATCCAATGTGGTAAGACCTGGCCTGGGTTTTTCACAATACTCTGAACCACAAACTTTACAACTTCCTAGTTATCATCTTCTGAAAATTCAGCCTGCCGGTTCAAACAGGAAAATGTTACCTTTTTCCAGGCTTCACACAATCTTAAAATTGTGTTCTGGTAGGAGGATTTGTAAAGCAAAGTGAGAAGGACCAGGGACAAAAATGTATGATTTAAATTACATAAAAATACAGCTACTATTTCCCACATATCTCATACTCTTACCTCTTTGTAAGTAAACTATAATTTGGGGATGAACTGGGAGGTGCAAGGGTCATGTAGCTATGTCAAATAGTGCCAAAAATTGAACACATGCTACTATCTGCTCTGGTAATTTGCTTTTCTCCCAATCCATGCTGTATGAATACGTCCTGCATAAATATCAAGTATTTATTGGGACTGCTGTGTTCTGAAATGCTCCAAATATTTATGTATAGGTTCGTCCATAACTCAGCCAAAAATTATGGTCTTAACATGTGCTGATATAGTTACGTGACCACACCCAATTCTTTCACTTTTGTGTGTTGTGACCGCCATAGTCATTAAATGAACTTAATTTAGCCTAATTCTGCTAAAAATTGGAAGTAAACACTGCTTTACAGGGGGAGAAAAATCATAAATAGCGGTTACGATTGTAAATATGGACTTGTTGCCAAGAACACAAAATATAGTCATGGGCCCACAGGAGAGGGAGGACAGAACTTCAGGTCTTTTTTAAGTAGCTTTGGGAAAGTCTACTGTAACTTCGGACAGTTGCTGAGCAACTGGTCATAAGTTGAGGACTATCTGTAGATGGTTCCCATAGTTATGTAAGGATGCTAGAAGCACAATGCAAGAAATAGAAGAAGCAGACTTGATTTGGTCTTCTCAGACCTTGTTAGTTCACCCAGTCCTCTGCTGTAATATCCAGGGGAGCAAAATGCTTTAAAGACATAGCTTTATCACCCCATCTCTTCTCAAGGGAAGATAAGCAGGCAGGCAGACTTACCCAAGACAAAGGCAGGGGTTCATACTGCTGGAGAAAGTTGCATGGCAAAGGATTATCCCGTAACATGCGAGGACAGGGCAAATGGTGTGGACACTAAACAAGTAAAGGAGAGAAGTCAATTGTTATTACAGTAGTGGCCAAAATTGTGGAAACCTTTTGGGAAACGTGTATTTTTGAGGTTTGATGGCTAATAACATCACTTTTTTTGGAGTAGCACCATAAAATTAAATATTTTATGGAAAGATAATTTAATAAAGAATGCAATGCTACGAAGTTTGTTCAATTATCTATATTCTATGAAATGTTATAGCCAAATAACCAGACAAAGGAAGCGCAACTTTCTTAGGTTGACATCAGGTAGTTTTCCTTCATCTGATTGTAGCCAGTATGCATGAGTGTTTAGAGAGCAATCAGGTGTCATCTTGTTTTGGCAATGAGCCAATCAGATCACAGTAGGATTCAGTTATTGATGTCATGTCTTGAAGCTGAGAGGAGGACATTTGTCAGTGTGTTATGTGATCACTATCAAGTTGGTGGGTTTTTTGTGTTCTTTCACTTAATGAGCTTGTAAAACATAATAAAATTAAAGTAATGGTACAAAGAGTTGAATGGTGGCTCAGAAAGCGATGTAAAATAGTATTATTAAGTGAACAAGGCTACAGTTATAAAGAAATTAGAAGAAAAATTGATGGAAATTTAACCAAAGGTGGCATTTATAAGTTTTTGAAGAGGTATAAGGAGACTCAGTCACTACAAAACCACACAGATAAAGGCAAGAAAAGGTGCACAATAACAAGTGATGATAGAATTATGAGACTGTGCCTTTGTGACAGAAGAAAATCATCTGGGTGTATACAAGATGGAATGGCACAATGCAATGTGAAGTTGAATGCAAGAACTGTTCAGCGTAGACTGCAGGAATTTGGCCTAAAATTCCATGAAAAAAGCCACTTTTACCTCTGAAACAAAGGTTGAAAAGACTAAACTGGGCTAAAACCCATGTTAGCTGGACAGAGGAACAATGGGACAGTGTTATTTGGAGTGATGAAACCAAGATCCCCATTTGGTAGTGATGGCATAAAAATACACTTTTCCCAAAAGGTTTCCACAATTTTGGCCACTACTGTATGTTTCAGTAGTCCTGAGTCTTGATGAACACACACATTCTCTGTTGTGCTTCATCACGCACAATATGTTTTTATACCATTTCTGCTCCCGTTCACCAATCAAGTGTAGCAACGCTATGTGTTCTCCCACCCTCCATTTTGTTCCCCCATCAACATTTCTTCATCTTCAGGGTGCCAATGACAAAAAATATGGCTTAAGTTCTGATCAAAAGACAAAATTTGCATGTTTTCTGGGCTCACAATCAAAGATATGGTCAAAGGCAGAAAAGAATTCTGACTTAAAAAACAAAACAGCACTCCAGAAATATTTACCCAAGAGCAAAACAAGATTTGCTTGAAATCCAACACAGCAGATGAGACATTTTTTACATTCTAATGTAGCTTTAATAAATGTAACTCTGGATAGAATTCAGTACTTACTGGAGCAAACACATGAGCTTCTTCTTTTACTTTATCTGCTTCCTGAGAACAAAATGAAAAAAGCTTCAATCAGTAAAAATGGTGACCTCCAAACTTTTCTATAACCTTAACATGGAGGCTCATAGGCTTTGATATACAATTTTTGAGTGACTGCTACAACTTATTCAAAGCCTGGAGGATAAACAGAGACAGAAACAAAACAAATTATTTGGGAAATTAACATTTAAATTAAATTAAGGCTGCAGTAAATACAAAAACACATCCCCTCAAAGTTGGAGGGGGCGAATCCTGAAAGCTCACACCTTATGCACACTTCAGAATAGAGACAACTCTCCCTGCAATTAGGGTAGGAGAGAAGAATCCATTCACTGCTTAATTAAATCAGATTTTGAGAACATGTGTAAACACATAAAGAAGAACTGGAACAATTAAATGACACTGCAATGCATGTGGGAGAGAACCAAAACCCAAACAGATACTTATTAATTGTATCCTTGCTTTCAAACAAACCACATAAAATTATCCCTAACTTAAGAACCATCTAATGAGATATATCTGATGCATTAATGTTCCTTTACCATCATTTTGCAGCCTCCCTCCCCTCCACCTTTTAAGCAGGCCATTAACCGAAGAAACGTGACTCACCTTCAAAATAACATCCCGGGCCTCCATGAGCATCTGATGGCCTTCCTTAGTTCCATTTTCAACCAGAACCTAGAAAAGGATATAAAACAGGGTAGACAAATAAAGGAGGGTCTGCAGACCAAATGCAACTCAGGTTGTCACTTCAGCTCTTAAAACTTCCTTTTTTGGGGGGTAAATCCTGACCTTTCTTTCCATACTGGTCTCTTTCTCAGAGTACTGAAAAGACACCTTCTTCATGCAGTCAGAAACAGACTATCATTGTTTACTGCCTCTTTGAGAAAGACAGAACAGAGTGAGGGGAGGAAAGGGTGTTGATTTCTTGTTCTAATATTTATCCAGGCCACACACAGGATAAATTAAATCCTTGTTATCACATGAAAATCTGATCTAACAAGAAGGGAGACTCCAATAATAATGGATAAAAGGTTCAAAGGGGGGCGGTTAAGAGGGTTAAGGGGCTAGAGTTAAGAGGGTTAAGCTTTCAGGCAGCAACATCAAGAATAGCATGGAGCACAACCACCATGTAAAGAATGAGGGGATGACTTTCTTGTAGCCAGCAATACTCAGCAGAATCCAAAAAGAGGCTATAAGGGCAATCCATGATCAACAGGCTGCTATCTCTCAACCCACAACAGTCATCAAAAGAGTGTTTCATGTGAGAACCAGGCCAAGTTTCAAGGCAGAGCAGAGTAGTCAACTGACTGAATCCATTCAAGCAATTCAGGGCATCTTCCTTACCAGAAAGTTGTTAGTTTTCTTCCATAGGTTTTTCACTTTTGCTATTCTCTGAGCATAAGTTGGCAGGTCGTTGAGAGAGAAAGCGGATACTGAGAGATCAAACGTCATCTGTGGAGGAAAAGATAAAAATGGAAATTAAACCATTCTCCAATTACAAATTCTATTGGTAGAAATCAGAGTCCCTGGTTTGAGGATCAAATGTTAAAGTCTGGGCTCTAATACGGCATGCTCTCTTCATCCATATACCTCACAGGCCTAACGTGAGGGTCCAGTTAAGGTATAGGGAGAGGTGCTACATCCAGCATCCTTAGCAAATTAAAGGTAGGACAAACACATTTGTATTAAAAGTCTTTCTTGTAAGAGTTTCTCATTTTATTCAATCACTCTACATGCTGTCTGGTGAATTCTGGGAGTTGAAGTCACATGTCTAAAAGTTGCCAAGTTTGGAAAACATTGCTGTAGGTGGTTGGTTATTGGAAAAATATTCTAACCATGAGGAAAAGTACAACACTAAAATAATTGCCAATTCCCTTTCCTTTATTCTTCATGCCTTAAATGGCTCTTCAGAATAACAGAGTTGGAAGGGACCTTGTAGATCATCTAGTCCAGGGGTCGCCAACCTTTTGGACCTCAGGGACCACCAAATTCATAATTTTAAATCCCGCGGACCAAAATCCCCAAAATAGTCTGCAGGAAAATTCTCCACCCCGTTTTCCTACCGATCGATCATTCTTTATTTGGGATTGCCTGGCCACCGGGCTGCTTTTTTCCACTTCTTTCTTCTGCTTTTGGCTGCATGCAAGGAAAGCAGCAGAAGTTTTTCTTTCTCTCCCCCAAACTCCACCAGAAATGAGTCTTTGTCACACCTGCGCAGCCTCTTGGAGCAGGAGGCCTTTCAGGGTCCCGAAGACTCATTTCTGGCAGAGTTTGGGGGAGAGAAAGAAAGACTTGCTGCTTTCCTTGCATGCAGGCAAAAGCAGAAGAAGCAGAAAGAAGCAGCCCAGTGCTCAGGCCAGGTGCGTGGGGCGAGTGAGGCAAGTTCCCCTGCTCCGCTCTTTCCCCCCTCCCCCCACTACCTTGTGTTGTTTGTAATGCAAGTGATGCAAGCCTGGATTAATTGCCTTGGGAGGTGCTTTGGGGGTGACATTTCTCTGCGGACCACCAAAATTTTCTCACAAACTAGTGGTCCGCAGCCCACTGGTTGGTGACCATTGATCTAGTCCAATCCTCCGCCCAAATCAGGAGACCTACACCACTTCTGACAGATGGCAGTCCAGTCTCTTCCAACTGTGCAACTATGTGTATGTACACAGAAACATAAAATATATAACTATAGATATATTTATTTTAAATTGTCAGCTGGTGCTCCATTCAAAATCCAAGAAAGAAATACTTAGACTCTTTTAATTAGAGAAAAGATATCTTTTACTGGAAATGAAGTGGTAGCAACAAGAGGATTCTGAATCTGAGGAAATAGGTGCGTAAATCACATATACAAAGTGATGGAAATGTTCCCACCCCCAATAGTTCAAATGGTTCTTCCAATTAAAAGTTGTGAATATCATCATGTGGACATCTTCAGGTGATGATGAAGTTTCTGTCCGTTGACCTTGGCATACTTTGATAAAGGTTTGCAGCTGCGCAGAGAAGAAAAAGCTAAGCAAGAAATAGAAACCTAAGCAAGAATGTACTCCCCCCTCTCCTCAGTTTATACAATACTAGTTTGTATCACCTCCAGCTCGCTTCCCATACTTTCCCCCCTCCTCCCCCCGTTACTTATGGCAGCCGAAAGATGCAAAGCAAAGGTAGAAGATCTTGAAGGCTGACAAAAATATTTATATGAGGTATCTACGTATATTGGGAAACATATCTCTCTTTTATATGCTGCATATGAGTCCTTTTTTCTTAAGTCCAAGCCAAATGGATAGTTTCTAACATTTTCTAATACTATCATAAAAGTTTCCAGCCTATAAATTAATGCACCCAAAGTAGATCAGTTTTAATTACTTTTAAGCCACAATGGAATCAGGTGGAGATTGTAAATAAGTCAGCGAAGTAAATTCTTGTGAGAGTGCTAGAAAGTTTCCATAGGGAAGATATTGCACTGAATATCCCCAACCCAGAGATCAACAGGGACCTCAAGAGTTGGCATGGTATATTCATCAAGCCTTCTGGGATTCAATCTCTTTGGAATGCAGCTGTGTGAGTTGTGCATACCTGTGGCCCAACGGGGAAAGCCTGCCTGAAGTAGACACCAGGAAAGCAGAGCTCTTGGGATTCAGAGATGCCTAGGAAGAAAACAGACAGGTAAATCCAGAGAAGGGAGCCTGTGAGGGGGAGAGAGGGGGAAATCCAACAGGTGATCCTGAAGGTTACACAGGGAAACCACAAGTAAAGGTGGGGCATGGGACAAACCAGCATTATATCTCAATCAAGAATGTTAGCATTACCAATTCTACTTAAGCGAAATACTTTCTACTGAACATCCATCACAATAATATACTTGGCATCAAACAAACAAAGAAAAAAAGAAGTTCTGAATGATCAAAAGTAGACGCTCATTACAACCTTGGAAGAGGCCATAACATACCATGATGGCTCTCACCAGATTTCCAATGATTAGACAGGGTAGATTATCCACCTTGTGCTTAGATTTATCCTACACAAGTCTAGCTGGAAGAAGAATGACACTGAACAGGAACCCAAGCTTCAATATGTATGCCATATGTAATATGGTAAAATGTGTAAGATAGTTGACTATATATCCTATATGCACAGCTTTTGCTGATATATGAACTACAGAAGCACTGCAGAGACACAAGACATACTCCAATATGTGAATTTTCTAGTTTAATGCTTTGGACTCAGGTCTTCTGTCTTCCTTAAGTTTGCAATGAACTAAAATGTTTCCAGTTTCATCAGAAACTATGTTTCTGGTGGAAATTGACATTGTAGACAGGACCCAACTAGGGACGAAACAAAACCCAGAAACAATCCTGCAGGAAACATCCAAGGAAAAATCATGATCCAGTTGTGCTAACCCACGGATGCATATTATTATTTAGTAAACTTATATGCCACCTGATACCCAGCAATTCTGGAAAGTACTATATGAGGATTTTGTTTTGTAACATTTCTTCATGAATTTTCATCAGGTACAAAGATAAAACATTGGCTCCATAAACACAACTGCAATCGGATGTGTCTTCCAAAAAATAATGCTAAATTTAGGCGTATGATTGTCAGGAGGAGAACAGTGATGAGCAATCACCTTTGGGGCCTAATTCTTGAGACCTTCAAGAAAAGATTGGACTGCCATTTGTCAGAAATGGTGTAGGGTCTCCCGCTTGGGTGGGGGATTGGACTAGATGACCTATAAGGTCTCTTCCAACTCTGATTATCTGTTATCTGTAATTCAAAGGAAGTTACCTGCTGGTCTAAAAATTAAAAAGGAAAACCTTTTTGCTTGAGAAAGATAACATCAGCCTGGGAAAATAAAATACCCTACGCATTTTCCTTCCCATCTCACCTCTCATCAGTTTCTCTGCCAGGGACAGCATGTGAACAGAACAATCAATATTCATGTATTCTTTCAAGCTTTCGCCCCAGATACTATGGGCTGCCCTAAGGTGTAGAAAAAAAGCAAAATAGATTAGATGGATGGATGGGCAGATGGATAGACAGACAGGAAAGATGGGCAGATAGACTCAGACAAATGATAGGTAGGTAGGTAGATAGAAAAGAAGGATGGATAGATTGGATGGATAAGATAGATAGTTTTTTACATATGAAGACACATTACCTCCCCATCTCCCACCAGGTCTGTTGGCTTCCCCGAATGGGAAGCCAATTCTGTCACAAGCATATTTCTTGAACCTCTTTTTCTGTAGCCTTGTGTTCCCCCTCTTATACTGACTGCGGAGACCTGGCTGCAGATTTTCCCCCATTTTAGAAGCATGATCCTCTTCAAAATAGATGGGAAGCTCCACTTCCAGAATGTCCCTATTTAAGAAAACTAGGAGCCCTAACCCAAACTTGCCCACTTCACATGCGAAACAGCTGGCTTGATAGCATTCATACCCTTCAAAAATGTTATGCTGAAGCCACAGCCAACAAAAGATCGCCTTCCCCTCTCTTTCCCTTGTTTTAGGTACTCACTCCCTCTACTAGGGACATAAGTCTCATTGTTGCTGCTGCAGAGAAAGGCAGTTTCTCCTTTCCAAGGGGATACTCACCAGCTGACAGCACTGGTACCCGAGCCAAAATCCAGCAAAGTTTTGGGCTGGAAATCTGGCACTCGCTTCTGGATCTGAAGGGAACAAAGTTGCAGAGAAAAAGGGGCCACTTTCTCAATTTGGAAGGACAGTGTAATATTTGCCAAGCTTAATAAGATAAATCACAATTTATTTATTTAAAAAAAAGACCTTATGCTTTAAATTTGGCAGAGGTGCTACTTATAAGCTTATTTTCACTGAATTTCAAAAGAAGAGAAGCTGCTGCAGTACAGGCTCTGTCCACATCATCCCAATTTCAATTGTTAGAAATGAGCACCCACAAGAAGACAGACTACCTGATATTCGTGGCCAAAAAACCAATGGGGTATTTTGCCGCTGTTGCTTTCCCTTCTGCCCATTCCGCTGCCACGTTTGGAGCTGCCGCTTCCGTGTTTGGAGTGCCGCCGCCATTTGGAGCTCCAAACGCGGAAGTGGCAGCTCCAAACATGATGGCGGGCGATCTTTTTATTTTGGTCCGCGCGAAGTTCAAAGTGAGCAAGAGAGGGAGACTGCGATGCCTCCATCCGAGATGGCAACCTCACTAGTGGATCACAACGTGGCTGGAAGCCCGAATCGGTGGGATACGATGGCAATCTTTTTGGAGCGAGAGAAAAGGGAGAGAAGAGTTGTGAGGCGTAATTTGCAGGAGGAAGTGGGTGTACCCCACGGCAGGGAGCCCAAGGAAGGGCTGGTAGGCAACGGAGAGCGTCCCATAGCTCCGGAAGCAGCCTAGAGACGCGCCCGGGAAGAGGCGCAGATGCTGCCTTGTAGTCCCCAAGCCAACTGCGTGCGCCGCCTTTAGTTATGTGCGCTCCGCGCTTTGGGCATCTCCGTGTGATCGCGACCCTGTCTTTTCCACCTGGCGCCCTTGCTGCTTTCTGGCTCTTTAGCAACCGGCTTCGTGTTTGGAGCACTGCCGCTGTTTGGAGCTCCAAACGGCGGCGGAAGCTCCAAATGCGGAAGCTCCAAACATGACGGTGGGCGATCTTTTTATTTTGGTCCGCGCGAAGTTCAGAGCGAGCATGAGAGGGAGACCGCAATGCCTTGCTAAAGAGCCAGAAAGCAGCAAGGGCGCCAGGTGGAAAGGACAGGGTCGCGATCACACGGAGATGCCCAAAGCACGGAGCGCACATAACTAAAGGCGGCGCACGCAGTTGGCTTGGGGACTACAAGGCAGCATCTGCGCCTCTTCCCGGGCGCGTCTCTAGGCTGCTTCCGGAGCTACGGGACGCTCTCCATTGCCTACCAGCCCTTCTTCCTTGGGCTCCCTGCCGTGGGGTACACCCACTTCCTCCTGCAAATTACGCCTCGCAACTCTTCTCTCCCTTTCCTCTCGCTCCAAAAAGATCGCCATCGTATCCCGCCGATTCGGGCTTCCAGCCACGTTGTGATCCACTAGTGAGGTTGCCATCTCGGATGGACGCATCGCAGTCTCCCTCTCTTGCTCGCTTTGAACTTCGCGCGGACCAAAATAAAAAGATCGCCCGCCATCATGTTTGGAGCTGCCACTTCCGCGTTTGGAGCTCCAAATGGCGACGGCACTCCAAACACGGAAGCGGCAGCTCCAAACGTGGCGGCGTAATGGGCAGAAGGGAAAGCAACAGCGGCGGGTGCCAAAGGTGTCTGCAGCAAAGGTGGGAGTAGGGAGCTCTCTGTGCTTGGCCATGATCGCCCGTTAGGAGCGGCTGGTGGCAAGGAATTCCGGCCCGCCGGGCGCTCCTAACGGCAAGTCCCCCCCCCCTTCCCCCTTATTTTGCATATTTTAAAATAGGCCTAAATTTGGGGGGAGGGGCTTAATTTGATTTTATGCCCAAAAAACATGCTGGGCCTTCCTATTGGTGGAGGCCGTATTGTTGGAGAAACACGGTAGTAATTTTGGCTTATCCTATAAAATGGTTAATATTGGAACAATGCAGATAATTAATGGTTGCGCCCTAAAAGTATCTACCTCTCTTTTTCAAAGAAAGAAGATAAAGGAGAGATGCAACCTAGAACTAAAGAGAAAATTCCTAACAATGAGAACAATCAAACAATGAAACAAAAGCGGACTGTCAGAAATGGTGTAAGGTCTCCTGCTGGGGCAGGGGGTTGGACTAGATGACCTACAAGATCCCTTTTGACTATGTTAATCTGTAAATCTGTGAATTGCCTTTGGAAGTTGTGGGCGCCCCATCACTGGAAGCTTTTAAGGAGAGACTGGACAGTCATTTGTTAGAAGTAGTATAGGTCTCCTGTGTGAGAAGGGAGTTGAATGACCTCTAAGTCCCCTTCCAATTCTGTTACTGTTGCTGTTACCAAGCTGAGGTGTTAAGAATGAGTAAATATTCAAATCCAGAAGAGTGACAGGATTCTAAGCCTGGTGTTATGTCCAGGCCCACTCCATGAAGCCCTGCAGGATTGTCTTCTCTACGTCATCTTGCCCACTGAAGTTATAGCTGTAGCTTACTTCATGGAATGCTCGACTCACTGCTGCATAGTTTGCATCCATCCGGCTGACCATGTACAGAAAGCTGAGCTCTTTAGTATATCTTGAGAAAGAAAAATTACAATTGTGGTCAGTACAAAAAAAGAACACACACCCCAAACACACATACTCCAACTCCCCAGCCAAATGGAAGTCATCTAAAGTCATGAGAATCGCCACCATAAAGTGGAGGCAAAAAGCAGACTTTTTTCAGAGCATACAGTGAGGTAGCTCTCATTCTGATAACATTGGGCTTTTCTCTCAGGCCTTGGGAGAGTGCTTTAGAAGCCCCTTTCCACTTTTGTTTCATCGTACATAGAAGAGGTTTGTATTTTTTTTAATGATTCAAAGAGAGTAAAACGAGAAGGGTCAACTATGTCTTCCTCCAGTAATCAGAATCCTGAGTTTTAAACACTCACTTCAATTCTTCCCAGTGGAAGGTTGTTTGACGAACAGCAGTCAAAACCTTTTGCTTCAGCTTATCACTTTCATCTAGAGATCCACCTAAAAAGATGTATGGGAAAGTATACTAGGACTATTGTTGCAATTATTACATTTTTATCTCATCCTTTCCCAAGGATACATCATTACTCAGCCTCTTACAGTCTACCTACACAATCAGCCCTGACAGGTGGGATCAGTTAAGGCACATTGATCAATCCAAGACCATTCAGCAAGATGGAGTTTTGGAATTCTGGCCCCTCTATACACAGCCCAGCTTTTCTGTAGGGGGCTCAACAATTCCCCAAGATAAGTTGTCTTGACAGAGGGAAAATGGACAAATATCTCCATTTACTTTCTCAAAGGGAGGAAAAACTAACATTCTAATATTTAGTATTCACAGGACTCCATCTTTGTAGAAAAGGACTGTCACAAATAGCATTGTTAGAGATGCAACGAGGATAATGCTTCTTTAAAACATGTTTTTATAAAGTCCTATACTGAGGGAAAAATAGTTGATTACATAAATTGTGCAACAAAATCTAAAATTTTCAAGGAATAATATTCTTTGGAATTGCAGGTAGTCTATGAATTGCAGCCACTTAAGTGACTGTTCGAAGTTACAGCACTGAAAAAAATGACTTGTGACTGTTTTTCAACCTTACAAACATTGCAGCATCCCCACAGGCATGCGATCAACATTCGGACACTTGGCAAGTGGCATATATTTATGAGTTGCACTGTCCCTTGGTCACGTAATCATCATTTATAACCTTCCCAGATGGTTTCCGACAAGCAAAATCAATGTGAGAAGCCAGATTTGCTTTATGATCAAATGATTCACTTAAGAACTGTGCAAAGAAGGTAATAAAGTGGGGCAAAACTCCCTTAACAACTGTCTTGTGTAGCAACGGAAATTCTGGGCTCAGTTGTGGTCCGAAGTTGGGGACTACCTGTATATATCTGGTGCATGGAATTTAACCGTCGGACAATATAAACAGGTTTTCTGTGCACGTTACTATGGCCAAAAAGCTAATATTGCACCATTAGAAAGATGAATTAATGAATCAATTCACTCAATGGATTGAAGTCCTGATTGGACTTGTCACCTTTGAACTGATTGTTTAGAGACGTAGCCTTTGTATAGGCAAGATAATGAAATATGAGACTCATTTATATAGAATTCAGAATAAAGTCATATAAATATATTAAAAGTGTGTACATAAATGCTATTTGGACTAGACAGTTATTCATAGAACTATAACTGTTTATTGTTATGACATATGGTGGCGCATTGGTTAGAATGCAGTATTATAGGCTAACTCACTATTCACTGCCAGCCTTTCATTCTTCTGAGGTCAGTAAAATGAGGGCCCAGATTGTTGGGGGCAATATGCTGACTCTGTAAACTGCTTAGAGAGGGCTGTAAAGCACTGTGAAGTGGTATATAAGTCTAAGTGTTATTGCTATTCTTCAAGTTTTCTTTCTTTCCAACTCTTTTTTTTAACTATCCTGTATGTTTCTGATATCGTACTTCAATAAAAATTAAGAAGTGTGTTGATCCTATTTTCTCTCTATCATCCATACCCCCCTTTCACCTTTCTGCTGGACCAGGACTTCTGCATCCTTCCTCAGCTTCTGTTCCAGGAGTTGTGCTTTTTTACGCAGATCTTTCAACTCTATTGGACGTTTGCGGCTCCAGAGGTAGTTGCTAAAAGATTCGGACTTCTTCTCCATATCACGTATGGGGGATTCTGGGAGAAAGAACAAGACTCATGCAGAAACCAACACTGGGCTCTGCAACAGCTATTGAATCTAAAAAGCGTCCCAGAAGACAATGATAAACAATATTCAATGTTGTTGCTAAGGAAATTATAGAGATACATCCATGGGATTGTGCTCAATATAATAATATAGGTAGTCCTCGATTTACAACAGTGCATTTAGTGACAATTCAAAGTTGCAATGGCACTGAAAAATTTGACGTGGTTTTTTACAGTTATGACATTTGCAGCATCCCTAGGATCACGTGATCAAAATTCAAATGTTTGGCAACTGGTTCATACTTATGATGGCTGCAGTCTCCAAGAATCATGTAATCATCTTTTCCAATCTTCTGACAAGCAAAGTCAACAGGGCAGCCAATTCATTTAACAACTGTGGCAAGAAAGTTTGTAAAATGGCACACTTAATGTTTCACTTAACAACAGAAGTGTGGTGCTCAATTGTGGTCATACATCAAGGACTATCTATATTTTTATGGATGTGTTTTGCAAATGCATTTTATTTATTTTTATTAAACACAATTGAATATATTTGGTACATTGTTACATCTGTCAATACATCATGAGAGGCAATGGATCAAGATTTAAGTGAAAAATAGAGAAATAATACTCTCTAAACTGAAAACAACTAGGACCACTGAATTCACCCTGTCATTTCAATTTCAAAAACTGTACAGGTAGGACTTAATTGACCCTGGAATTATGGTTGTCAGTTGTACAGGTTTTTAAGTGGGTCATCATGTGACCAATATGATTTCATGACTTTTTTTTTTGTGGCAGCACTTAAGGGAATCACTATGGTCGTTAATGGATCGTGTCTGCAATAGACTTTACAGAAGTAAAGTCTAAAGAATATTGTAAATTGTGGTCATGTGATTATAGCATGTTGCAAACAGCCATAAATGTGGGCTGGTTGCCAAGCACTCAAAATGTAATCACATATGAAGAATGGTTGCAGGATTTGGGTTTGTCTAGTCTAAAATGAAGAAGAATTTGGGGGGACATGATAACAGTATTCCATATTTGAGAAGTTGCCACAAAGAGGAGCTATTTTCCAAAGCACCACAACGCAAGACAACAAACAATGGATGGAAACTAATCAAGGAGAGAAGCAACCTGGAATTAAGGAGAAACTTCCTAACAGTGAGAACAATTAACCAATGGAACAACTTGCTGTCAGAAGTTGTAGGTGCTTCATCACTGGAGGTTTTTAAGAAGAGACTGGACAGCCACTTGTCTGAAATGGTATAGGGTCTCTTGCTTGAACTAGAAGTTGGACTAGAAGGCCTCCAAGGTCACTCCCAGCTCTATTCTGATTGACTGATTGATTGATAACTTCAGAGGTCATGTTTAGAACTTTAAATCTGACTGGTATGTACTTTTTTTTTGGGGGGGGGGGGGGTCCATCATAACTTTGAACAGATGCTAAACAGCTGGTTGTAAATCTGAGACTACCTGTAGCATACCTTCAACTAAGACACTAGCTGATATACCCAGACAATCCAATCTTTAATGAGTTTTACTCACGGGCTACCCAAAAGGAAACTGCTTGCACTAACTCAGGCGGAAGCTTCACACATTTGAGATGGAGGATGCCTGGGTGTTTTCGGTGAGGAATGTTGTTCAGGAAATTTGAAGAATTATCTACTTGAGAAACATTGGGAACAATGGTCGCCAACTTCTGAGCAAGAAGACAAGAAAGAAAAGCTTAGGACAGAGTTAAGATTTAATCATAGATAGGCAAATCCCAAAATGGCAAAAATCATGAAGGACTACAGGAACCCAAAATTTATGTTGCTAAGCAAGATAGTTAAGTGAGTTTTGCCCCATTTTATGACCTTTCTTGCCACAGTTGTTTAGCAGTTATTTAGTAACACAGTGAATCTGGCTTCCCCATTGACTTTGCTTGTTAGAACATTGCAAAAGTTATCACATGATCCTGGGACACTGCAATTATCATAAAATATCAGCCAGTTGTCAAGCGCCTGAGTTTTGATTATATGATCATGGGGATGCTGCAAGGATGGTAACTGTAAAAACAGTCATAGATCATTTTTTCCAAGGCAGTTGTAACTTCAAATGGTCACTAAATGTAAGGTGATTAAATTGAGGACTACCTGTACAAGATTCTAAAGTGCAGCTGTCACAAGAATATGCAGTCTTTAATTTTCTGACTTTCCAATGTGTCACTGGGCACACATATTAACTTCTGTTGCAATAGAAACAATTAACAGTTATTATTTGAAATACCTTTCAAATCACAGCAAGTACTGTATGTGGTTCTAATTATGATTAGAGTATAACTGTATTCCCTGAATTAAAGCCACATTGTTATGTTTCTGGAACAGAAACTAAAATTGACTCTTGTTCTGCTAAGAAATTGCCTTTCTGGAATAATTCTTATTTAACAGGCAAAAGTATGGGGGCAGGGTGAAAAATTGGGGCTGAAAATAGTTAATCCACCTATTAACTATTAAGACTTCTGAAGTTGGGAAAAGAATAATTCCTCCCTGAAAGCACTGAATGGCAAAATATTTATTCAAAACATTTACTATAGTCTTAATTTGGACCTGAAGTGTTGGAAGCCTTGGAAATATCAATGATTTTAATTTTTTATTCCAAGTTACATAACTTCCTATGTCAAATTCATGACCCTGGGCAGCAAATACCAGTCAAAATCTATGTAAAAATAGAGAACTATATATCATGTTGACCATCTTAAAGAGTTCATCAACAACTGAAAAATCAAAGTTAATGTTAGGTTATGATTGAAAAAAGCACTACCAATTTATTTATATTTCGTATTTCTTAACTGCCCATCTTTCTCAGATGCATGGCACATGATTAACTCCAAAAGAAAAGTAACATTAATACATAAGATCGCTTGTAGAAATATGAGATTAACATACAGATAGTCCTCAACTTGCAACAGTTCATTTAGTGACTGTTCGAAGTTACATCACTGAAAAAAGTGACTTATGACCGTTTATCACTTATGACCATCATGTGATTTACATTCAGATAATTGACAACTGACTCACATTTATGATGGTTGCAGCGTCCCGGGGTCATGATCCCCCTTTGTGACCTTCTGATTAGCAAAGTCAGGGAGGAAACCAGATTCACTTAACAACCTTGTCACTAATTTAACAGCCACATTGATTCACTTAAAAACTGTGGCAGGAAAAATCGTAAAATGGGGCAAAACACACCAAACAAATATCTCACTTAACCACATACATTTCAGGCTCAATTGTGGTCATAAGTTGAGGAATACCTGCATTTAACAGCTCTTAACATTTTTTTAAAAATCCTGAGCCCTTTATAACCATCCTTAATATCATTCAGCCATTTATCTCTTCACTTATTTATATCCTGCCTTTATTTCTACAAATAACTTAAGATGGCAAATATACCCAACACACCTTCCGCCTCCTATTTTCCCAATAACAACCCTGTGAGGCGAGTTGGGCTATGAGAGGGAGAGACTGGCCCAAAGTCATCCAGCTGGCTTTCATCCTAAGGAGGGACTAGAACTCCCTGTCTCCCAGTTTCTGGTAATTCTCATAATTACATGAATTACTTAATATAATGCATTAATATCCCAACTTTTCTCTAAAAAAGAACAGACGTGAACCAGATTTCCATGACCGATTCGCTTTCAAATTGGGGTCTCCCCACCTCCCAGCCACCACTTCCAAACCAGCGCCTTCATTGACGGATGGACTAAAATACCCATCAGCCATAGTCTCGACTGATCTCACTACATCGTTTTATGCGGTAGAAATAGCCACGTGGCGGATACCGCTTGTTCCCTTTTAATGGTTATTATTTGCACAGCCCTAATTAATTGGGATTAAGAGTTCCCGCTTTTGAATTCATTCGAATGATATACTACTATTCGCTTGAATCCAGATCAAAACGCACTGGAGCCCGCCCGCTCCTCCTTCACCCGACCAATTCATCATAACGTATAAGGACCAAACAAAGAGAGAGAGAAAAATAATTTTTAAAAAAGTCTCACTCTGACTATTAAAGGATTAAAACCAGCGTGCGCGTACGCTTCCCGCAAATGTTTCATTGCCGCCATCTTCTGCAAGAACTTGCTGCCCAGCGCGCAGGCGCAATATTAGAACCGCCCCTCTGGAAACCCATCGCGGCCGCCATCTTGGGAAGGGATCAAAGAAAGACGGAGAAAAGACGTCTGGGCATCTCTTTCGCTCACGTTGCCTTGCCGTTTGAGGGAGGAGGCGGCCTCAAATGCTTCCCGAACGGCTGATTGGTTGTCGAACCACCTTTGCGTCATCAGCGTCCTTCCCTAAGGCTCCGCGGGCGGGCGGGTTGTTTTGGTTTTTTTTAAGCTACGGCAAAGGGGTTTATTTGCATAAGGCTTTCAGATTTGTTCATTCTATTGGTTGACCCGATGCATTCAGACCATATATCCTGCCCCTTCATTTGCATATTAAGCGCGCAATTTATTTCAAGTTGATTTGGAGAAAACTCGAAAAGTTTTTTTTCCCTCTGTTTCCTTCAGCAGATGTGGATGAAGGGGGGAGGGAGGAATATCAATTTCTCTCCGCCTCCCCCCTCATTTTCTTTGCTTCTGGGGGGAAGAAGGATTCTTTCTGAAACAATTCAAGATAATAATATTGCAGTGCTGAATTCTCCAGTGAGTGATTCACAAACTAGCCCTTTGATCTTAGGTGTTGTGTGAAACCTCCCCATATAATATGAATCTCCCAAACTATCTTTGAGTCACCTGACGTTTAGTTAATTACAACTAGTTTATGATTCAAAAATTATATACCAAAACTATGCACTCCTATATACTATATGAACAATGTACTCTGAATAATTAAATATTTCCATCACTTTGGACATGTTTCCAGGATTTTTTTCTTGGTTTATGGACCTTTTGTCATAGTATCTAGCTGGAGAAAAAAAATTAAGAAAGATAGAACCTGTTTAATACATGGATGGGAGACCACTAGGAAAAGCCCATATCTAGTGCATGCTCAGAAAGCAAAACAAAATTGTGGAATAAGATGACAGTATGCTGTTTCCTGTATTTCTTCCAAGAAAACATGTTAAATTCTGGCCATTATAGACATGATCATTAGATGACAGCAAAGAACTGGAGATTTGTGTACCTCTTAACTGTGGCCTGGATAATTGCAGCCCTGATAAAAGATTATCTGTTTGATCTCTTCTTAAAAGTTTGTTCCCATGAACACAATTAAGCCTCTCCATTAAAAACCTAGCCACTACCTTCACACAACATGCTATCCTGGCTTATGCTTCCTAGGAGTTCACCTTTGGTGGTGTTGGAAGAAAAATCCATCTGGTTCAGTTCCAAGCCAGGAGAAAGGCACTGGAAATAAAATGGAAGCTGGAGGCTGATTGGAAAGGAAGGGTCCCTTTATTGATGAAGTAGAACCACCAACCACATATGATTCATGGGCAGCTGACAAAATGGATTTTAGAGTGGGTGGGTTTTTATATCTTCTGGATTCCTATGGGACCATGTGGGGTGATGGCTGGCTTTATAGATAAAAGGGGAAATGTAAACCCTAGGGTGTCTGAGCTAATCTAGTCAAGCTTTTGTTTGTTGCTTATCTGAGTTTCTGTCTTGACCCAGTACTTCTGAATGGATTACCAAATCTGCATTTCTAAAAGCTGGCTTCCTCAGTTTCTGCTTGGGGCAGGGAAACTGGGGCTGGTTTTCTGTCTCCCTTAAGATTTTTTTTTAAATTTCTCCTTCAGGGGAAATATTTTAACCTTTCTTTTTAATATCTCCCAAAATATTTCATTCTTCTGTGGGTGGGGGCTTCCCACAATGGTTTTGTGGATTGTGGGAACCTGAGCGAATAGATTAGATCAACGCATTGTGCAAAACCAGAAAAATGGCTAATGCGGTAACAAGGTTAAGCCTGTGTACATGTGAGTTATGTTTATGGAAAGAGGAGGTGTGGGTGGCAAAGGGAGAGGATTTCAAGTTGTAAAGCAGATTTGACCTATTCTACTTCTGAAAATGAGCTGCACCACCTAGTTTTCCAAAGTGATTGCATACCATAAGCATTGGAGGAGGTTGATGTAATCTGTTGCTGTGGAATCTGCCTGTGCAATTAACTTGGCAATCAGCTGCTTGAGTGAGTGATTTATTTGCCAAGACTGAGCCATCTGGAATTGGACAAAATCATGACCTCTCAAATCATAAAAACAATCCATGACTTGAGCAGTTAGGAATTCCGGGTATGTGTGTACAGCTAGAAAAATAAGAGAGCTTTGTTTTTCCTCCAGTTATGCTTCTTATATTACAGGTAGTCCTCGGCTTATGACCACAATTGAGCCCAACATTTTTGTTGCTAAGTGAGACATTTGTGAAGTGAATTTTGCCCCATTTTATGACCTGTCTTGCCACAGTTGTTAAGTGAATCACTAAAGTTGTTAAATTAGTATGTGATTGTTAAGTGAATCTGGTTTTCCCATTGACTTTGCTTGTCAGAAGGTTGCAAAAGTATTGTGTATTGTGATGTGACTTGTATTTATTAAAGGGTGGAGTCTGCAGTACAATGCTTATTTTTTCATATTGATAAATTCTCAACAAATCTAGTGAAACTTGGAATTGGAGAAGATTCCCAAATGGGGAACTTGTAGGTTTTTTTGAGTAGGAAGAGTTCAATTCCATCCCAAACAAGCTTTATTTAATTCTCAGATCCCTACCTCTTCTTTATCCATCATGATAAGCAATAGAATAGTTTTTTGAGGTTTTTCTTACATGCAGAGGTCATAATTCTCATAGTTAGATGTTATTTTACAAAGGATACATTTAAATATTGGGGAGATAATTAAAATGTCCTTGAACTCCTCAGGATAGAGATGGACTCTTCCTGAGAGAGGTAATTTCATGTATGGTGCACATCCTACCATGCATACATTCCATTTTTTTTCCAAACTAAACTACTATTATGAATTGCAGTGTCTCTAATACCAACTATAGTTGGTGGGCTGCATAATGTAGTGGGTCCTATATGACAGGCTTCTCCTAAACTGATCACTGATAAAATGACTGATCCCAATGGGTGAGCCCTTGTGGAAAGTTCCATATTATACATCAAATCAGTTGGACCAATGGAGATCCTTTGGATCAATTTGGCACAACTTTTTTTAAAATGTTAATTCAGAGGTGTACATTTGAATATGATGGTTCAACCCAAATTGTCAATTCCATCCCGATGTCAAATTTGAGATCAGTTCTGAAGTGGAACTTTGCAGAAATCCATTGGATAACCTAGCCTGCCGATTCATTATATCATGAGAGTATGAAATGTTGCATCCTAATACGATATAGGTACAAAAGTGAAGGAAGGATTATGGATTGCATTGCATCGACTCTACGAAATAACCCAACTGCCCAAAATATGTTGTCGTAGTTTCAAGTGGGTCAACTCTACATGAAGTTGCTCTCTTCAAAATGGACAGGCCAACCAGAAGAATCACAGTTGATAAGGATTTGCCGTTGTCCTGTCTGAGATGAATAACGACACTGGCCTTGTGATATTCCCTGCAGGTTGCAGGTGGTGGCTGAGAAGGCTGCTTTGCTGAGCCGTAAAGCTCTACGATAATGGGTCCCAGCCCAGCTGCAAACATCCTTCAGCTGGTTATGAGGAGCATGGACAAAACTGTTGGTGGTTTTGCAGGGCCTGGTCATGCCCCTTTGTAGCATCATAACCATGCAATAATCCTGACCCACAACTTTGGTTTGGGGGAAGTCTTGGTGCTCCCTTAGAAACTTCTTGTGCCGAGGATTCTCAGAGGTTTCGCTTACAATCATACGAGATGCTATCAGCAGGAAGAACATCAGGGAGCCCCATTTCTTCAAGACTAGAAGCATAGCTGATTTTAGATGGACCTGAAACCAGAGAAAAAAAAGAGGAGGATCAGGACAGAGCTGCCTAATTTGTGACTCAGTGGCTAAGACGCTAAGCTTGTTGATCAGAAAGGTCGGCAGTTCGGCGGTTCGAATCCCTAGCACCGTGTAATGGAGTGAGCTCCTGTTACTTGTCCCAGCTTCTGCCAACCTAGCAATTTGAAAGCATGTTAAAAATGCAAGTAGAAAAATAGAGACCACCTTTGGTGGGAAGGTAACAGCGTTCCCTGTGCCTTCGGCGTTTAGTCATGCCGGCCACGTGACCATGGAGACGTCTTCAGACAGTGCTGGCTCTTCGGCTTTGTAACGGAGATGAGCACCACCCCCTACAGCCAGAAACGACTAGCACGTACGTGCGAGGGAACCTTTACCTTTACCTTAAAATAAAAACAATTCAAACAACTGTCCTTGAGACCTTCAAAATGGCTGGTCATATCCCACTATAGCAATGATGATTTTATCAAGCTCATCACGTTCCATTTGATAGAACATTTGTGCAGATCAAAGATTAAAGGATATCTGTGCTACTTTAAGATTTATAGTATTCTGAGATAATAAGCATGAATTAGTCTGGCACTGTGAAACTGGGTAAATTTCTGCTAATTTTGGGACAGGTTTTATGATCTTTCCCAAAGTTGGCGCCTTCTATTTTGAAGGTCAACTCATAGAATCATTGAACTGTGAAGTCAAAAGAGACAATGAGATTTATCTCCTTTAGAATGAGCATCCCCAGTTCCTCCATAATTCTAAGACATTATAACATCTGGAAGGAAGCAACTTGAGGGATTTATATATGCAACAGAATAAGGTGATAGAAAGTCTGCAGTGGGTGACCTTTATTTTAGAATGTGATAGCAGAAGACTTTTAAAAAATTCTTCCATTGTATGTCTATGGAGATTATCGGTCATCCAAGTCATAGTTGTTTCCAAAGTGCCTTCCCCCCCCCCAAAAAAAGGCAACTGGACTATTTTTTTGAGGAAAACAAAGAAGATGTTTCACGTCTCATCCCAGAAGCTTCATCAGTTCTCACAACTGATAAAACGGTTTGGATGAGAAGCAAAATGTCTTTTTTCTTTTTCCATTATATAAATATCCATCAGATGGCAGCATTTAACTCACTTTGACTATTATTAAAAGACTAAGAAATGTCAGACCCGATTAGTGCAGAGTGAAGACCATTAGGAAATACTACAGCTGGTAACAATAGTGATAAGTAGAAAAAAGTAAATAAAAAACATTTTAGTGAAGAACTTTGGTATAGGTAGTCCTCAAGTTATGACTACAATTGAGCCCAAAATTTCTGTTGCTAAGCAAGACATTTATCAAGTGAATTTTGCCCCATTTTACGACCTTTCTTGCCACACTTAATAAGTGAATCATTGCAGTTATTAAGTTCGTAACACGGTGGTTAAGTGACACTGGCTTCCTTCTATTGACTTTGCTTGTCGGAAGGTTGCAAAAGGTTGCAAAAGGTGATCACTTAATAAGTGAATCATTGCAGTTATTAAGTTTGTAACACTGGCTTCCTTCTATTGACTTTGCTTGTCGGAAGGTTGCAAAAGGTGATCACATGACTTTGCAACGATAGGAGACAGTTTACAAGTGTCTGAATTTTCATCACATGACCAGGAGGTTGCTATAAGTGAAAAGCAGTCATATGTCAGTTGTTTCAATGCTGTTGTAACTTTGAATGTTTGCAAAATGAACTGTTGTAAGTTGAGGACTACCTATATCCACATGTTTGAGTGGTCAATAGGAACTTAAGGTTATTAATAAATGGACACCTGGCTGACAAATTGCATGAGTCTCACTGAACAGATTGATGGTCTTCACCCTGCCTTTTATCTTTGAACGCAAATGCCCTTTTAATGTAATTCTTGTTTAAGAGCCACAGTGGCACAATGGTTAGAATGCAGTATTGCAGGCAGTACTGCTGACTGCCGGCTGCCTGAAATTTGGCAGTTTGAATCTCACCAGGCTCAAAGTTGACTTAGCCTTCCATCCTTCAAAGGTGGATGAAATGAGGACCCAGATTGTTGGGAGAAATAGGCTGACTCTGTAAACCGCTTAGAGAGGGCTGTAAAACACTGTGAAGTGGTGTATAAGTCTAAGTGCCATTGCTATTGCTATATTTGTCTTTTTTCTGAAGTAGTATATTTTAATGTGGTTTTTAGGTTTTCATTGTACACCACCCTGAGTCACTCTGTGAGTGAAATGGACAATATCTAAATTCGACAAAAAGATAAATTGAATTTGAGTTTAAAGTATCTACCTTTGGGGCCACTGGATGTGCAAAGGTAGAAAAAGAGCAAAACAGGGTGAAAAGGGTAGCTTCACCTATTTTAATGTATTTCTGGCAGGGTATTTCTTAGGCACTTCAAAACCAGGAAGGCTATTTTAACAGTGAAGGTAGTCCTCAATGTACGACCACAATTGAGCCCAATATTTATGTCGCTAAGTGAGAAATTTCTTAAGTGAGTTTTGCCCCATTTTAAGACTTTTCCTGTCACATTTGTTAAGTGAATCGCTGCAGCTGTTAAATTAATAACACAGTTATTAAGTGAATCTGTTTTTCCCCATGGACTTTGCTTGTCAGATGGTCACAAAAGGGGATCAGATGATCCCAGGACACTGCAACCATCACAAATATGTGTCAGTGGTCAAGAAATCTGAATGTAAATCATGTGACCACGGGGATGTTGCAACGGTCATAATGGTGAAAAATGGTCATACGTCACTTTTTTCAGTGCGGTTGTAACTTTGAACAGTCATAAAGTAAACTGTTGTAAGTCAAGGATTACCTGTACCAATTTATTCGACACAGTGAATAACTACAGTGAACACAGAAAATTGCCTACAAGAGACATGTCTACTTTTCTGTTAGATGCATCCAAGGCAGCTTACAAACATACGCTATCTAGTAATGTGCATGCTTGGTTGGGCTTCAACCCTTGCAAAATCAATTGCAAAAGTCCTGCTTTCAAATTAACACTGTTGCAATAAAGCCAAAGGGAAGTCATTTACCAAAAGTGCAAAATAATTTTAAAAAATTCTTTAGCGTGGAAAGTACTATCTTTGATTGCAGGGTGCATGATTCGAGGAGAATAATTTGAGGAAGCCATCTGTTTCTGTGACATTTTGCCTAGGTGTCCTAATCTATTTTTCACCACACAACAACTGTGTCTTTGCATTTTCCCCATGAACATTTTGTTATAGACTTAGACTAAAAATCAAATGTAAGAGTTCTTTAAATAGAAGTCATAAGTCATTTTTTGTATCTTGTTCCCCCCCTTTCTTTTTCTTTCTACTTTTTTCAAATTTCTGTCCTTATTCTCTCTTTATTCTTTATTCTTTATCTTGTGTAGTGGTTATAAGGCAGTACTGCAGAGCTAACTCACTGCTCACTCCAGGAGTTTGATCCTGAACGGCTCAAGGTTGACTCAGCTTTCCATCCTTCCGAGTAAAATGAGGACCCAGATTGTTGGTGGCAATAGGCTGACTCTGTAAACCGCTTAGAGAGGACTGTCAAACACTGGGAAGCAGTGTAAATCGAAGACCTATTGCTATTATTAATATTTTTTATGCTATGTAAAATTATTTGATGAAAAAATGTGTCTGTGCAAGGGCACAGATGCCTTGTGATGATTAATGCTGGACAGCAACAGTGAATAAGTGATTATCTGTCATGAAACAGATTGAGGAAAATAGGAAAGTTTGTCAAGCTATTTGATTAAATGAGGAGCCCGCAGTACTCTCTGAGCTGGGTTGCTTTCTTGCAGACAGTTTCATTACCAAACAAAGAAACATCATCAGTGCACTGATGATATTACTAGTTTGGGTAATGAAACATCTGCTAGAAAACAACCAATCTCAGAGAGCATCAAGGATCCCTCATTTCAACCATTACAAATATTCCCCTTTATTTGATTAATTGCAATGCCTAGACTTCCCTCCATCCATTCTCTCCTCTCAACAACATCCCTATGTGTGATGGGTTGGACTGAGAGAGAAATTTGCTCAAATTAAGCTATCAAGCCCCTGGGCTGAGGGAGGCCTAGAACTGGAGTTTCCCCATTCCTGGTCCAACACCTTAACCACAACAGGGCTCTGGCTGCTTGGTGGACCAGACAGAAAAGATATCCCCTCCCCCACCCCAAAAAAGGGTGGCATGGATACAGTTGCTATCTCCAATTACAAAGGCTCTGGTAAGCATGAGTAATGGCCACACAGAAAGAGCTGAAACTCTTAAGACTGCAGCCACTCTCTTCTTTATGTACATTGGACTGTGTTTTTAATCTTGCTCTTTCTCTGAATACATGAGCTGCCCAGGATTGTTTGGGAGTAGGGCAACACCTAAATCTAAATAAATAAAATCCTGTAACAATGCCCCATTCATTATAAATAGTCTCTCCCTTCCTCCAAGCAAAGAAATTTTGAAACCATAACTGTGTTCCAGGTTTCGTTTCATTAGCCAGGCTGAATGAAACTGGGTTTTAAATATGTGAAACAAAGACTTTTCTTTTGAACCCAGGGAGTGACAATTTAGTCCTCTCTACATTCTTTTAAAAGGCAGGTATTCTCCGCCTACCCCTCCTCCCTGCTGTAGAAGACATCCAAGGCTTAGGAACATAAAACATCTGAAGAACACTAGCTCACTTTTTCCTGATTTTGAGTTCTCAGGCTGCAAGCACCCCCCACTCCACCCCCCAACCCCCCACGGAACTCACCTCCAAAGAATTCGCACAATTGGGAGTCAAGCCAAATGATGCCTACATTTTCTGCTGCTTTCTGGGCCTCTTTATACATCACTTGGCCAAGGGTTGGGGTGAGACTTCAGTGATCACTTAGAGCTGGACAGAACCAGTGGATACCATGTGGCTAAAGGAGGAGGAGGATTGGGATTAAGAAGAACAAATTATTCAAGGGTTTGTTTCTTAATCAGTAAACACGTCAGTCACCCTTC